CCTAATTGAAAATGTGAGGTTCTAGGGTTTACAGGGGGTCCGGGATGAAGGGCTTCAGGCAATGTAGCATTTTCAGACACTAGGTGTCTGTATAAATTAAGCCCCAAACCCTACATGACTTAGACGGGCTGTCGGGGTGGTGGACTTTGCCAGCAGTCTGTCAGGTTAGAAAATGTTTTTTGGCAGAGTAAGACAATTGGGGTCGTGGACATGATGATAACCTGCCTTTCTATGCCCTTCTGGTAACGATAGCTCTGTGAAATCGGCTGACACTCCAAAGATTCATGGACAGCTAAAGTCGACATTTGCAGAGCGCCCTGGGCCTGGAAGACACGATCCAGCAACTAGCAGCTAACTAGCATGAGTCGAAGTCGTTTACGTGGCCTCACCTCTTTGCCGTTCTGCGGGTGCCGATGAGCCACCACGGGCTTGTTGGGCTCTTGACATCAAGTTGCCCGGGCTCCAGGTGCCAAGATTTTGAGTACCCTTGCACCTGCCCGCCGCTAAATGCACCGTCAAACCCTCGGTTTGCACGCAAGTAAGGCTTGCCAAAGTTTGCGTGGCGCACCTCACGGTTCTTGCAAACCGTCGTTAAGGACTTGAAGTTTCGGTAGTCCCACTGCTCGCATGTCATTTATTGTAGATACACGCACATAGCGAAATCGCTGTGTCTTGCGTCGCGGCTAACAGGGGACTGAGTCCGTGAGAGAGAAAGAGGACACTTCAAGTCACGGCGCAGGGCAAGGCGACGCATGAGTAGCTCTCAGCATGTTTTTTCTTCGTACCGGCCAGATACTGCCTGATCAAGTGCTTAAACCCTGAACCCTTAAGGGCTTGGGGTTTGGGGTGCAGGGCTTAAGGTTTGGGATTTCGGGTTGTAGGGTTTCATGGCTTGGCTGTCGTAGAGTAAAGTAGCCTCTAGGGTACTGTATTCCCTACATAATCCCAGAGGGTGACTTGTAGCTCTTCTTGGAAAGTATGGACCCCAAACAACTTGAATTTTGAACCTTCAAACCTAAACAACCCGCATAACTCCCACAATGTCGCCGGACGATGATCGGATTCGGTGAAGGGCACATCTACGGGGACGTCTCAGGCTTGCCAACAACTTGTCACCGGTACTGCTCCGACACGAGTTTCACAGAACGCCCCTGCCTTTGCGGGATCGTCCCTATTGCCGGCAAATCTTAAGCTCTCGAAAGACATGACGATTGAGGACACTCGGAGAGACGACTGAGGCAAGTAACGGCAGGCAGGTCGAAACACGTAGATGCCGGAGGCCGGAATCTTGCTGCTGCGAGTGTGGGCCTACGCTCTGCCGGGTGCTGCGGCCGCAGTGCCCTGACATGTGCAAGCAGACATGGCTATAGAGGCGCTAGAACCCTTCAGCCATGAGAGCCAGCTACGCACATGGCCTCCCGATCTGGGCAGAGCGCATCGGGCCTTTACATAGACAAGTTCGTCGGCAAGCTGCTAAGCCAAGCCGAAAGCGGGAAGGAAGGATTTGTGCACACATACAGCCTCCCCGAGGAGGCTTCAAAATCTGCAAGCTCTGCCACACACCTAGCCGCACTGAGGCAGCGCCGACGTGCCTTGAGGGCTCTGGTTCGGAGCCTCGGTGGCTACGCGGCTTCCCTCGAACAGTTCTGCACGGCTGGCTTTCCAAAATTTCAGAAGCAACTGCCCTCCAGTGGCTTGTAAGACGGCCAGGTTCTACGACCTATGCTTGCAGCGACGGCGCCTTCTTATGCTGAGACCCTGAACTCCAAGGAGTCAGACATGTGCCTGAAGGTCTAATAGTGGGCACTTGCAGGTTCAATACACTGGCACCCCGGTGGTCTTACAATCCAGCCAGACGTGCTCCGGCAAAAAAACACATCTGCGGACAGCTCCGAACCTCGCCGGGCAGTTGGGACTCGGACTGCATGTCTGCACCAGCGCTTTCTTCAAGTAGAGCAGGCGAAACCTCGTCCCCCCGACGATCTGGCTTCCGGCTGCTACATGATGAAGCTAGGCAGCAGGGGCCTCAATACTCAGAAACGGCCTTTTCCATCACTCGTTGCAGGGCACCGCACCAAAATCGAAAGCACCTTCCGGGCGTCACCTATGTGACCCTGAGCGAGTGTCTCGCCGCGACATCTCTCTTCCCACCGGAACTGCGATCTGGCAAAGGTCAGAACCCAAAGCACCATCCTGCAAGCGGAAACGTCGCCAGAACTTCTTCCTCAGCTTCAAGAAACGCTGAGAAGCCGCAGCAGCTCTGCTGCGCATCTGCATAACAAGCTTAGACGCACAATTCGGCAGTTTACCTGCACTGCGACTGGTGTCCAGCAGAAAAACAGTTGATGCCCAAGGAATATTGCCGAAAGCCACCAAGCCCCCTCAGTTTCTGACATCCACGAGTAGCTGAGGCTTCAGGCGCTAGTCACGTCTGCGCGGCAGCTTCTCACCAACGAAGGCCTAAACCGAGCCTGCTGCAACATCGTGTCAAGCCGGATTTGTCAAGGTCTCTCCAGGCAAGATGTCCCAGAATGCTGAGCTTGCGAAAAATAGCTTCAACCCCCCTGCGAAGTCGCAAACACGAGGCCGAAACCTGGAGCCCCCTTCAAAGTTTGCGAGACCAGTTCTCAACTGTGTCCGTGGGAGGAGGAGCAAACGAGGGTTCGGGTGATCAATGCAATGCAACAAACACCTAGCATATCCTAGAACACCTTCGATTGCAGCCGATGCTGCTGGCTGGCGCGTACGCGTGTCCTACACGCAAGCCTGGAGTCCAAGAAGACTCCACCAAAATCCACCGAGAACGGCCGTGGATCGAGCGCCTCTAGCCTCTAGATCACCTGCGCGCATGCGCGCGGCCGTGGCATCAGCCAGCTCTGCATGGGTCGCCCCAACAGGCACGGCCGTGGCAGGTAGCGACCTCAAGCACGTGCGAAAGGTCGTTCGATGGCACTGGCATCCTCCGAAGATGCTTGGGAACAACGAGGCCGAGCAGGGCCTGTGCCCGCCCTCAGTCATACATCAAGGGTTCCCGGATGACCCTCGCGTGCCATTCTGCAAGGGCTGCGAAGGAGCATGCTGCTTTCTTTGCTGGGCTGGGCACTGGTATGAAATGTTCCATGCGACTTCGCTGTCTAGCAGCAACCGGTATTGGCCAGTGCTCGCGTAGCAAGCAGCATGCAAAAGCCAGGACCCTTGCCGGTAACACCAGAGATCTGAGCAAGGGACCACTTGGAGACACTGGTGGTAAGATCCCGGAAGGCTCGCAGCTACTTGGAATCAGCGTCGTGGCTCTGACCTCTCCACGATAATCGAGGTCCAATCTGACAGCCCCGACTTTGCGGAAGGGCTGGGCTTCGGAGGCACCCAGCTGCGATGAGTTCGCCGGTGCTTCGGGGGAGGACAGGTCAGAATACGAGCCTTTGAGTCGGGCTCATCATCCAGTCTTCGGGGGCAGCAGCAAGAAGAGCGCAAGGCACCCACACGAGTTTTTCTCATCTGTCTTATCTGGACCGGCCGGGGTCTCGAACCCGAGACACCACATCTTGAGGCACTCTAACACGCAAAAGGCCCGGCTTCAAAGGGAACTCATCACCCAA